ATTAAAGATCTATATTTTAAATGCTATTAGATAGTGCCAGATTGTTTTCTAAAGATGCTATAGTACTTCAACTTCCGACCAGCAAATGTATGAGAGTTTCTTTTCCAACACACATACCAACGATACATTTTATGGTTACTTTTGACTTTGAGATAAAGTAATGTCTCACGTTTACTTTAATGTTTGTTCCTTTGCTTCTTAAGGAACATTTTCCCATGATATTTTGTTGTTGTTGTCATTTGGATTTTTTTCTCTAAATAGAATATTCAATTTTTCTATGTTTTGTCAGTTTATAAGAATATGTGTTGTTAAGTGCCATTGAATCGGTTCTGATTCATAGCGACCCTATATAGGGTGTCCGAAGCTGTACATCTTTGCAGGAGTAGAAAGCCTCATTTTTCTCCCTCAGAGCAGCTGGTAGACTCGAACTGCCAAATTCATGGTTCACAGGGCTTATCATAAGAAAATTAGTCTATTGTAAAAAGTCACTCTTGGCCTGCCATTTGTATTATAAGTATTTTTGTTATATTCTTTCTTTATTTATATTATCTTTTTCCATACAAAAGTGTTCTGTTTTGGTAAAAAAAAAAAAAAAAAAGTGTTGTATTTGAAGACTTCAGGTTTCTATCTTGGTAGAAACTTCCTGAGAAATCTTGATGGCTGTAGTTGTACATTACAAGAATCGGACATGTTTTTCTACAAGCATATCCTGAATTTATTATTATCATTCTAACTTTTTTTCTTGGTTTAATCTCTCTCATTTTACACCAGGCCTAGGTGAATTTGGGTACAGTCACGGGCATAATAGTAACAAATATTTAGGTAGTGTGTAGCATCCTCAGCAGAAGTTACAAAGTGTTGATGGGCGTATCCAGAAGCTTCCAAAAATAGGAGGCTTCACATTTACCTTTTGATCTTGGCGCCTTTTTAAAAGAAGCGCCGTTGTACCTGTATTCCCTCCTGATGACAGTGGCAAGAGATGGACACAAGAGACACACACACTGTTCTTTTTCTTACCATTGTCGTTGGGACTATGTAAGATGTCCGGAGGGCTGCTACTACCACAGTGTTCTCTTAGACTGAACCTGGCATCTGCAGACAGTTGAGTTTGTACTCCCGATTGCTGATACTTAGTGACTGACACTGCTCAGGGACCTTGGGAAACATTGTTAATGATCTCCTGATTTCAGTCCCCTGTACTAGTGCTGCTCTCAGTAGAGCTGGATTCTGATGCCTGATTTTGAAACTTCCTCCTGATTCTGCTTCTCTGGTCTCTCTCCTCCCCAGGTTGTCCTGACCTGGATTATTCTCAGGCTACTCATCTGAGGGGGCTTCAAAAAGTTCATGGAAAAATGGAATAGAGAGATCATGGAATTTCTCCACCAATTTTTTGAAGCCCACCTGTACTCCCTGAGGAGATTCCAGACACTCCCATGGTTTTATTTTCATGTATTTATTTGTATTATGGCTCTGTCTTTGAGAAATTATTTATCTATTCTGTGGGGCACTATTGCTCTACATCAGCATTTCTGTGTGCTTTCGTTCAGTCATCCTTCTGATAAGTATTTTTTAATGCGTATTTATTATGGTAAAAATAGATACATAGCAAAACATACACCCATTCAGCAATTTTGACTTTTACAGTTGAATGGCATTGGTTACATTCTTCCATGTTGTGTCATTATTGTCATTTTCTCTATGCAAATTATTTCATCAAAATCAATTTAGACTCACAGTCCCCTAAACTTCTCATTTGTGCTTTTAGCATTACTGTTGTCAATTTAATCTCATCTCAGTATTTAAGGAGCTCTGGTAGCGTAGTGGTTACGAATCGGGCTGCGAACCTTAAGGTCAGCGGTTCGAAACTACCAGCTGCTCCGCGGGAGAAAGATGAGGCTTTCTACTCCCGTAAAGATTTACACCCTCGGAAACCCTGTACAGGGTCGCTATGGGTCGGACCCGACTCGACGGCACTTAACAGCAGCAGCAGCAGTATTTATTTAAAGAAGTGCAATACTCAAGACACACATTTTTTTACTAATTGAGCTAAGTTGTTGTTCGGTTTAAAGATGACATGAGGGGTGGAGTAATTTCAGCTCAAGGTTTAGAGAACAAACCCTTCCATGGTTGAACTACTACCTATTGCCTATTGTTGTCCGCTGGTTCCATCTCATAGCAACACTGTGTAAGGTTTCTGAGGGGCAGCTGATGAATTTGAACCACTGACCTTGCAGTTCAAACCAACCTTGAGGTTGAGTGCTTATCCTAGGACTCCTACCTGAGGCTTCCCTAATATTAGACTGTCCCCATGACTGTGGATTGAGTTCTCAGCTTCGGACTCATGGACCCAGCTGCCTCCGAACCACAGGAATTTCAAACCAAGCATATCCAAATCGAAATGGATGGTTAGGTCCTCCAGCCTCCTCCTCCTGCTTTTCCTCCTTTCTTGTGAATAAATAGCCCCTGAAGCCAAGCCATTGATTTGGGTCTTATCCTAGACTCCTCCCTCTTCCCAGCCTCCATTCCCCACTCCTGTCAATCATCAAATTCTGCTAATTTTATATTCTGAATATTATCAAATCTAGCCCTTCCTCTTCTGTCTCTAAGACTGCCTTCTTCAGGCCCTTGTCATCTTTTAATTGGACTATTGCAATGGCCTTCTTCTAACTGGTCTCCCTGCCTACAGTCTTGCCTCCAGCAAATCCATCCTCCAATCCTGATGCCAGAGTGATCTGAAATGCAAATATGATATTGCCACTCCCCTGCTTAAAACCCACCAACAGCAGTGGTTCTGTAACCACAGTATAGCCTCTGACGTGGGCTGAAAGTAAGTTGTTACTCCTCCTCCTCTTTCTGCTACTATTAGTACCACTATTACTACTAATATGAATACTAATAATAGTAGCTAACATTTACTGAGCATTTCCTATTGTGTTTTCAAGTGATTTATTATAGTTTTAAACATCAGAGCTGATTCAGAATTTTCCGAATAGTCTCACATTTGCTTGGGGTGAAGGAGAGGGGCAGAGTTGCAGACAAGGGGCACCAGGAAAATGTTCATAATAACCAATGATCTTATCTATAACTTTGGTGAGTGGCCACGCTGGCTGATTCAGTGTACTAGAGAATGACCATAGTTCTTATGAACTAGGATTTCAAAGCTTTTGCTCCCTACGAAGTCTTGAGGGAAGGTAGTCAGTTGTCCATATGTTAGCCATGTTGGAAAAGCAAGACACCCATGGGAATGTCCTTCTGCTCCTGGGTACCAGTGAAGTGGGGTGGGCTCCTGGCCTTCAAGGTCAAGTACAGACTTCTTGGCCTGGCATACAAAACTGTTCATGACCTGGTCCCTGCCACCTCGACTGCCTCCTGCCACTCCTCCATTCCTTGCACTTTTCAGTCTAGTACATCTGAACTGTATGTGATACTAATATAGCTCACCCTTACTGAGATTTCCTTATGTGCCCAGCACTGGGCTAAGTGGCAATGCAATCCTCACAGCAACCCCGCAAGGTAAGTCTGTTATCCAATTTTATAGAGGAAGGAGGCAAGGTCCGGAGAGGTGAAGTAATCTGGTGTGGCGCTGTGGGTTAATGTGCTGGACTGTAAGGTCGGTTTGAACCAAAAGGTTGGTGGTTCAAGCTCACCAGCTGCTTCTTGAAAACCCTATATCGGGTTGCTATGGGTCGGAACCAACTCGACGGCACTTAACAACAACAACAATCTGAGGTGGCCCACATAGAATGGTAGAGGGAGTGAGCCTTCCTGCCAACTCAACACCCCCCCCCCCATCCCTGTCCACATTCTTCCATAGCTCTCTACCTTCCTTACAGTATTCTCAATTCTTGCCTGGGATACTTGCCCTCTCCCTGTTGTTGTTAAGTGCCATCGAGTCAGTTCTGACCCATAGCAACCCTGTACAGGGTTTCCAATGAGCGGCTGGTGAGCTTGAACCTCTGACCTTGTGGTTCACAGTCCAGCTCATTAACCCAAAGCACCACGCCAGACTCCTGCTCTCCCCTAGTGCTGGGTAATGCCTACCCATCCATTCAATCCTGGGCTGTATCGTGGGGTAGCTGTCATGACCACCCACTCCTGCCCCTAAGCCTAGCTCAGTAACCCCTCCTTGGCTCTGTGGGCTGCCTGGGGGCCCCTGTGGTAGTTATACTCACAGCTTCACGCTGGAATTTATGCGTCCAGTCTGTGTTTCTGGAGACAGGCTCTGGGTCTCTTGTATCTTTGGACCCCCAGCCTCTGGCCTAATGCCTGGCACATAACAGGTCTCTGTAGGTGTTTGTTGAATTGATTAAACTGAATTCTAGACCCTGAACGTTTAAGGCTATTGTCCTTCTGACCAGTTTTCCCTGTCTTCACCTTCTCTAGGCACAAAGCCAAGCTATTTGATCTCTGGAAAAGGATCCTTTCCCTTCCTGCCTGTGTTCCACCTGCACCCTTTGACTTCGGGTAGAAACTGCTGTCTGATCAGCCCCCTTGCCCACGCACTCTGGACATCTGTATTGTCTCTGGTCCCCCTCACTTCTCTAACCAACAGGCTGGACCCCACATCCATCCTCTGAGCCACTCTAGTCAACTTCCCCCTAAGCTTAACTATTTTTGCTGGGTTATTTGGTATTTTTTTCTGTCCCAAATCATTTTTCTCAAAACCTTCCTTCTTTCTCTCTCTTCCCTTAGTTTTCCAAATCAACTGCCCATGATTGAGCTTCTCACCTCAGAAATTCACAATGTACAAAGTGCTGTTTAAAACCATCTTATTTTGCCTTAGGAAATCTTGTTGCCTTCCCTTGAAACATTGAAAATTCCTCAGATTCCCGGGCTGAGTGTCTGTCTCTGGACCTCTAGTCCTGTTCTGCAGCAGAGCTGTTGTGTCCAGCACTGAGCAGGCCCTCAGGCCCCCTCCCCCAGCTGCCTCTCTCACAAGCTACCCTGCCTCCCACTGGCCCTGCCTCCCCTCATTTCCCAGTCTCCTCTGCTTCCGGCAGCTTTGGGACCCCCGCCCCTGGCTTCTCCTCCATGCTGTATGGAATGAAGATTGCAAATCTGGCCTACGTCACCAAGACTCGGGTCAGGTTCTTCAGACTCGACTGCTGGACCGATGATGTGTTGCTCTCAGAAAAGAGGAAAATGAAGCTGGGGTCAGATATCAGCAAACACCACAAGTCACTACTAGCAAAGATCTTTTATGACAGGTGTGTGTAAAAGAGAGAGACCCATGATTCCTGGGGGAAGGGAGCCGGGCCTGAGAAGAGAAAGAGTGGGCTGCCTACGGAATGGGTGCAGAAGAAACTAATTGGTCTGGGGGGAGGAGGTGGGTTTCCTAAGCACGGCTGGCACTTTGCCAGCTTTCCTAGTTGAAAACTTTCCCAGAACAGTTTCCAGTCCAGTACCCTCCAGCCCCAGCTCCTCTTGACTTTCTCCAGGGCTGAGTATCTTCACGGCAAACACGGAGTGGATGTGGAGGTCCAAGGGCCCCATGAAGCTCGAGATGGGCAGCTCCTTATCCGCCTGGATATGAACCGCAAGGAGGTGCTGACCATGAGGCTTCGGAATGGAGGAACCCAACCTGTCACCCTCACCCACCTCTTCCCACTCTGCCGAACATCCCAGTTCTCCTTCTACAATGAAGACCGGGAACTGCCCTGCCCACTGGGCCCAGGTGAACAGGTTTCCAAAAGAAAGAGTCTCTGGTGGGCCGAGACTGCCCTAGCAGGGAAACATCCAGTCACTCACTAACAGGCTTCTGGCCTTGGGATGGTACTACCTGGGAGGGAGTGTTGGGTCGAGGTGTTAGAAGGACCCCCATTCACTGAACCATTCTCTTCCAGGGGAGTATTATGAGCTCCATGTCCACTGTAAAACCAATTTCGTGGGCTACTTCCCAGCCACAGTGCTCTGGGAGCTGCTTGGACCTGGGGAGCCAGGTTCAGAAGGAGCTGGCACTTTCTACATCGCCCGCTTCTTGGCTGCTGTGGCCCACAGCCCCCTGGCAGCCCAGTTGAAGCCCACAGCCCCCTTCAAACGGACCCGGATCGCTGGGACCCCTATGACGACCAAACGGATAGAGGAGGGAGAGAGACCTGACCGGTAACTCCTCTCTCCAACCAGTCCAGGCTGGGGGCCTCCCAGCTTCCACAGGGTGGGCCCCTGGGAAGAGCACAGAGTGGGGAGCCAGGGTCCCCTTTCCTGACTGGCTCCATCACCTTGCCATGGGACCAGAGGCAGAGATCCTAATTTCTTGGGATCTCAGAAAGTTATGAAGTGGACCACAAATATGAGGACAATGAAAAAAGATCAAGTATTTTTATGTGTAACAGGCTGCCAAGCAGCCAATTTTGTTGTTGTTGTTGCTGTTCAGTGCCACAGAGTCGGTTCTGACCCATAGCAACCCTGTGTAGATAGGGTTTCTGAGGAGCAGCTGGTGAGCTTGAACCACCCACCTGATTTTGCAGTCCAGCACATCAACCCACAGTGCCACACTAGGACTCCGCTTCTTTTTGACATGACTAGATGTTCACAAAATGCTGAGTTAAAAAAGCAAGCTGTAATAATACTTTCACAGACCATTGCTCCCTTTTAAAAAAGAATATGTAGTTATTAGTTGCTGCTGAGTCTGCTCCAACTTCATTCTGTTTCAGGGGAACAAAATGAAGCAGTGTCTGGTCCTGCCCCATCCTCGTGATTGGCCAGCACGTTTGAGTCCATTGTTGCCTTCCAACCAAGGGGGCTCATGTATGTGTAATAGCAAATAGCAAGAAAAGAAAGAAAGTCTGGAAGGCTTTATACCAAAAAGCTAACATTAATTATTCTCAGGTGATGATAAGAATGCTTTTATTTACTCATTTACTTATTACTTATTTCCTGATTTCCCCCCCCTTATGAACATACACATTCAACCTGGTGGTACAATGGTTAAATACTCAACTGCCAATTAAAAGGCTAGCCGTTCAAACCTCCCAGCCACTCACTCCTTAAGAGAAAGGCCTTGCTGGCAGTCTGCTCCCATAAATAAAGATGGTGGGCTAGAAAACCCTGCGGAGCAGTTGTACTCTGTCCTGTGAGGTTGCTATGAGTCAAAGTCAACTCAACAGCTCCTAATAACAAAGAACATGTGTTAAAGTAAAAAACAAAACCTATGACTGTTGAGTCAATTTCAACTCATAGTAACCCTATAGGACAGAGTAGAGCTGCCCCATAGAGTTTCTCTGATTGTAATCAGTAGACTGCTACATCACATCTTTCTTCCACTGAGCGACTGATGGGTTCAAAGTGTCAAGTCTAACCACTGAGTCATCAGGGCTCCTTAAGCATATATAACTTGATTGGATACTTTTTAAATGTTTCTAAGTATCGTGCTTTCTGAAATGAGAATGGCCCAGCACCAGACAGCAGCCCCATGAGACAGAGTCTGCACTTCAGGCAAAAGACTTTGACTATCTGAGATAGCATTGTAGAAGGGCTTTGCTCACTCCAGAGTGAGGAGGAGGGCTTCTGTGTTGGTGACTTACTTTCCTTCCCCACTCCTGCAGTGCTAAGGGCTACGACTTGGAGCTGAGCTTGGCACTGGGGACGTACCATCCACCAGCCCGCCTCAGGCAGCTGCTCCCCATACTTCTTCAGGGAACAAATGTCTTCACTGCCCCAAAGGAGATCGCTGAGATCAAGTGAGTGCTACCTCTCTGCCACTCTAGACTCTTAATGCCTTTTGGGTCTGGTTTCTTCCCTGTTACCGTATTCTAGCTTTCCCTGCTGGGCTCCTTCCCACCACCCCAATACTTCTGTCTTCAGCCTTTCAGGCACTCTACTCATTCATTCATTCATTCATTCATTCATTCATTCTTTCTTTCTTTCTTTCTTTCATTCACTTACTGAGTAACCATTGCTTGCCAGGCACTGTTCAAAGTGCAAGGAATACAGCCACAAACCTAACAAATGAGCTTGCTTAGTGGGGAACCTTGAGTAAAAACGTTGATCATACAGTTTTGTGTAGCAAATTAAGTATTGTAATGAAAATTAAAGCAGAGTAAGGGCATGGGGTGGTACTGTTTGGGAGAGGCTATTAGGTATGGCCTCTTTGAGGAGGTAAGATTTGCATGAGGTGAGACTGGTGTCATAAGAGGATCAAGGGGAGAGACTTCAGCTCATAGGATCCACAGTACAAATGCCAAGACTGGCACTCAAGAGAGCAAGAATAGCCAGGGTTCCCTTCTTCAAGGCCTCTGACCCCCATTCACGTTTCTACCCGTCTAGTCTCCCCGGCTTCCAATATTTGTCCAACTCCAGAGCTGTAGATGGGAGAGGATAGATGCTTCTGGAAATGGACATGCCTGACCTGCCCTACTCCTATCTCCTCCCCTCCCCAACTATCACTGGCAGAGCTCAGCTGGAGACCTCACTAAAGGAACGGAACTATGAGATGAAGCTCCGGCTGCTGCTACACCTGGAGGAGTTGCAGATGGAGCATGACATCCGGCATTATGACCTGGAGTCTGTACCCATGACCTGGGACCCCGTGGACCAGAACCCCAGACTGCTTACACTGGAGGTAAGGGAGGGGAGGGGAGGGTGGGCTCAGGTCAGCCAACCCTGAGGCAGGGTACTTTTTGGACAGCAGGGCCAAACAAGAGGAAGGGTGAAGTTGTTCCTTCCCTAGAGGGCTCAACTAGGATTTAGATGGGCATCCTGTACCCAGAACACGGTGTCAGAGCAGGAGAAAGGGGAAGACCTGGGTTTCAGTACAGACTTTGTTACCACTAGCTCTGTGACTTTGGGCAAGTTCCTTCATCTCTCTGGGCCCTCTTTCATCATCTGAACAGCACAGTGCTGGACTGGATAATTGTCAGAGCCCTTTCCAACTCTCAGGTTTGCATGTGTATGTATAAGCCCAGAATCACACATGGGAATGGATTACTGCACACAAGTGCTACTGAAAAAGCAACCCAAGGGGAGGAGGGGTAAGGATAACTAGGCAGAGATTCCTGTAGGCGATGGGTTTAGAACGAGATCGAAAGGCAGAGTAGGAACTGAGTAGGCCAAGAGGGGCAGGGAAACTGGCGCCAAGTCCTGAACTTTTGCACTGGAAGGTTTCTGGGATTCCTGGTCTCAGTGTCTATGTGCAGCTTGGGAAGACTGGTTTTTTCCTTCCCAACTTTTGCCCTATCTGGTGTGAAAAGAAAGAGTAACACAGGGGAGGCACCACTCCCCAAGACTTGGGGCAGAAGTATAGTGTCTCAGTCCTTATCCCTTGGAGGGAGGAGGTCTAGGGAGCTGAGAGCAGGGCCCTCCAGTGGCTGTCCCTGAGATATAACTTCTGTTCTCACCCCATAGGTCCCTGGGGTGGCTGAGAGCCGCCCCTCAGTGCTGCGAGGTGACCATCTGTTTGCCCTTCTGTCCTCTGAGACAAACCAGGAGGACCCAGTCACCTACAAGGGCTTTGTGCACAGGGTAGAATTGGATCGTGTCAAGCTGAGCTTTTCCACGAGGTGGGTGCTGGGGAAACCCTGAGCTACCAGAGGGATCTCCAGTCTTCACTGAGGCCAGAGGAGAAAGGGGTGTTTCTCCCTCAGAGAAGTAGGATCCCAGGGCCAGGGGGTGCCCCTGTGCTGCCTCAGTGGTGGAGTTCCTTGGTGGTGTAGGTGATTAAGTGCCCAACTATAACACAATAGTTGGTGGTTCAAACCCACTTAAGTACTTTGAAGAAAGGCCTGGTGATCTGCTTCCGAAATTACAACCGTGAAAACCCTGTAGCGTTCAGTTCTACTCTATACATTACACATGGGTTGTTTTTTGTTTTCTTTTCTTTTTAACTGCCTCAGCTGCTTCCTCTCCTAGAGAGCTTTGCTGGAGGAAATAGTGTAGGAGTGGATCAAGAGGCCTTTCATTGTCTACTGTCTTAACTGGAACTCTCTCCTTTCCCTTATAGCTTACTGAGCCAATTTGTGGATGGGCTGACTTTCAAGGTGAATTTCACCTTCAACCGCCAGCCCCTGCGGGTTCAGCACCGGGCCCTGGAGCTGACAGGGCGCTGTCTGCTGTGGCCCACGCTTTTCCCTGCGGCTGCTCGTGGGATCCCTCTGCTACCCTCAGATGTGAAGCTCAAGTGAGACTGGGGACAGGGGACCTCTAGGACTACATGGAGGGGCGGGGTGTGGAGTCAGGGAGGCTCCTGGGATACCAGATGACCCCACACTGGTGTTCCCGGTCCCTCTGCCAGGCTATACGACCGGAATCTGGAGTCAAACCCAGAGCAGCTGCAGGCCATGAAGCACATTGTTATGGGTACCACCCGTCCAGCCCCCTACATCATCTTTGGGCCTCCAGGGACGGGCAAGACTGTCACCTTAGTGGAGTCCATCAAGCAGGTGGGGCCCAAGCAGAGATCTGGGTCTGTACTCTGACTGCCCCCAACACCAAGTATTTGTTCCTAGATTCTGGATCCCTCCAGCTCCCTGAGTGCACTGAGCTTAGGGACAGTGGCTGTGGGTATTGTGCAGGGTAGATACTGTGCAGGCTCTTAAGAGTCTCATTCATATTTCAGTCACCATAAAGCCCAAAGCCATCGAGTTGATTCGGTGACAACCCTATAGGACAGAGTAGAACTGCTCCTTGGAGTTTCAAAGCTGTCACTCTTGATGGGGCCAGACAGCTTCTTTCTCCCGTAGAACGGCTTTGAACCACCAATCTGGAAGTTAGCAGCCCAATGCTTAACCCACGGTGCCACCTGGGATCCTTTCCGTCAACATACTTGGCTGTAGTTAGTGCAGCAGTTTTCCAGCATTAAAATATTCTTTGGACCAGGAGGGACCTGGGGATGAGAACTTAATTTTTTGTGTCCCCACCTCCCTCAGCTATTGGAGTCAAGCGCCACACTACCCTAGCCCAAGTCACCACTGAATCTGTCCCTCTATCCCTGGAATCCCTGACCTGATATGGCTTCCTACACTGTGCTTCTCCCCATCCCAGGTGGTAAAGCACTTGCCCAAAGCCCACATCTTGGCTTGTGCTCCATCCAACTCAGGGGCTGACCTCCTCTGTCAGCGCCTCCGGGTTCACCTTCCCAGCTCCATCTATCGCCTCCTGGCTCCTAGCCGGGATATCCGCCTGGTACCCGAGGACATCAAGGTACCTGGGGAAGTGTAAGAGGGCTTGTGGATAGCTGGGTGCCAGGGAAACTCTTAGAATAGTTGCTGGGGCCTGGAAGCTAGGAGATGACAATTCTGATACTCACTCTATGACCTTCTTTGCGGGGAGGGGTTAGGACCCCTTCTAGGGCCTCAGTTTTTCTGTCTGCAAAGTGAAATAGATGGATACAATTGCTCAGGAGGTCCAGAAGCAGGGTGAAGGTGAGAATGAGTGGAGCTAAGCTGTGCTGATTCTCCTTTTCCTTCAAAAACCACAGGCCTGCTGTAACTGGGATGCTAAGAAGGGGGAGTATGTTTTTCCCTCCAAGAAGAAGCTGCAGGAATATCGTGTCTTAATTACCACCCTCATCACTGCCAGCAGGTGGGGGAGTGCTTATGTCTAAGTAAAAGGGTAACAGGTTGGGAAAGCCTAGTCCCTGGGGAGTGAGGCCGGGGGCAGCGAGGGTGAATATTCAGGTTTGGGCATCAGGTGCCTGGGTTTGACCCCTGCCTCTCCTGAAACCTCCTAGGTTGGTCTCAGCCCAGTTTCCCATTGATCACTTCACACACATCTTCATCGATGAGGCTGGCCATTCCATGGAGCCTGAGAGTTTGGTGGCCATAGCAGGTGAGGTGCTCAGGTGGGCTGCAGGTGTGCCAGTCTGCACAGGGTCAGGAGATCGTCTCACTTTCTCCGCATACCACCTCTGCCTTCCAGGGCTGATGGAAGTCAAGGAAACAGGTGAGCCAGGAGGGCAGCTGGTGCTGGCAGGAGACCCTCGACAGCTGGGGCCTGTGCTGCGCTCCCCGCTGACCCAGAAGCACGGACTGGGTCACTCTCTGCTGGAGCGGCTGCTCACCTACAATAGCCTGTACAAGAAGGGTCCCAGTGGCTATAACCCCCAGTTCATCACCAAGCTGCTACGCAACTACAGGTATCTCCACACCCTCTCCTGCCATCCCAGGCCTCTGTACCCTCCATGCTACCTCAGCAGCATGTGATCCAGAAACCAAAAGGCCAAACCCATTGTTGTCAGTCTGACTCATGATGACCCCATGTGTCACAGACTAGAGCTCCTCCCTAGGGTTTCCTTGGTACAATCTTAACGAGTCAATAGGTCTTTGTTGTGTGGAGCTTCTGGGTGGGCTCAAACTGCTAACCTTGATGTTGGCAGTCAATTGCAAACATCTGATGCAGCCCAGGATCAAGACGGTGGTGCATAAAATCTATGAACCGGAAAGTAGGAGCCCTCCTTCCTAGCCCCTTTGCAGCTTCTAACTGTGTGGCTTTAATATATGGCTTCTCTCTCTGGGCCAGTTTGCTTATTTATATATTAGGAGATGATCAGTGATTCCCAGACACTGAGATGTGTCTGGTGCTGGTCCCAGATGAAGTTTCCAGGAAATCCAGGGAGAAATGAGAAAAAAAAATAGGGACAGTACAGTAAGTTTTTTTAAAAACTTTAATTGTTGTTCAAATTAAAGAGCTATTCTTCCCTTAGTAAATGAGTTAATACATCTGCATGCTAAGATGAGTTCTAGTCCGTCACTAAGACCTCAGTAAATGTTCACTATTAAGTTATTTGGGGTTTAACACATTATGCTATAAAATAATGATAGTAGATGCTATGTATGTGTGTGTATGTATGTATTTAAATGTCCTTCCTTAACAAAATTGAAACCTGAGAATGGGTCCCTCGTATTTTGCTTTTTAAATTTGACTGGTCTGTGAACATAATTGATGGACAAGGTGCTTTCTGGTACCACAGATGGTTCTGCTTTCTATGGTTTATGGTGTCTGGGTCCTGGCAGACATTGTAGGTGAACATGCTCTGTTCTCCATTAGGCAAGGGGAGAGGAGGATGTGTGTGGGCCCAGAGCCAGCAGAGCGGGGTCCCTGAGAGCAAGGAGAAGTAATCGAGCCCTAAGTTTTGTTCTTCCTCCGGTTTCCCAGGTCTCACCCAACCATCCTGGACATTCCTAACCGGCTATATTATGAAGGGGAGCTGCAGGCCTGTGCTGATATTATGGATCGAGAACGCTTCTGCCGCTGGGAGGGTCTGCCACGGAAGGTGAGGCCAAGCAGGGCAGGGGCTTGGACTCCCTCTCACTGTACCCCAACTTCACTCCTGCTGAAGACAGGACAGGGCAAGGCTCTGAGTGGAAGCCAAGTGTCTTTCTGTCCCCTTGACCTGAGACTCCAGTTCTCCTGAGAGGGTCTGGGGATGGAAGAGAAGGCAAGAAGGGCAGTCTGGCTGAGAATTTCCTCTGATCCCTGTGTCCAGGGCTTCCCCATCATTTTCCATGGTGTGATGGGCAAGGATGAGCGGGAGGGCAATAGCCCGTCCTTCTTCAACCCTGAAGAGGCCGCCACAGTGACTTCCTACCTGAAGCTGCTCCTGGCCCCCTCCTCCAAAAAGGGCAAAGCCCGCCTGAGTCCCCGAAGTGTGGGCGTCATCTCCCCCTACCGGAAGCAGGTCAGACCCTGAGTTCTCAGTGAGGGTGGGACGCCCTGACCCCACTCCCAGCAGTTGGTACCTCCTTAATCAGCAAACCACTAGACTGCAGTTCCAGTACTCTGCTGGCACAGGGGTCTCCCAATTCCCTGGGAAGGGGTGGCACATTGTCTCCTGCCTCCCTCCTGCATTGGAGTATTCACATGAAAGAAAGACACCTGTGTCCTCTCCTTCCAGGTGGAAAAAATCCGTTACTGTATCACCAAACTTGACAAGGAGCTTCGGGGACTGGATGACATCAAGGACTTGAAGGTGAAACATTCACCACTCTGCTACATTTGCTCCCTGCCATCTGTGTACCCCAACTTCCCGTCTTTAGAAACCTCTCGAGGGTCCTGTACTTTCTGCTCTGACTCATGTCCCTCGCTCACCCTGCTGTTTCGAGATGTAGCTGGGGTTCTCCCCCAAGACTCACTCTTGGACACCCCAACTTAAGAGGCCTGAGATGAGTTGGGAGGCCAGCATTTTTAAGAAGCACCTCAGATGATTCTTACAGTCAGGCTGGGTGGGAGTTGCTGCCCTGAGGTTAAAGTTCAAACCTCAGCGCTCACCAGACCAGGCATGTGATGCTGTACCTGCTCCTCCCCAGCCTCCTCCCTCCTGCCCTCCGGTCAGACAGAAGCTCTGACTCTCTGAGGTGGTGGTTCTCAACCCTGAGTACAGATAAGAGTCACCTGGAGAGCCATTAATACTGCCAAGGCCCCACCCAGCCAATTAAAACAGCTATCTGGGAGCAGAGTCAGGGCACTGGTATTTCTTTTTTTAACAGTTCCTCAGGTGATGAATGTTCAGCCTAGGTTGAAAGCCACTGTTTGGAAATTTTGATTTAGGAGGTCTGGGTTGGGGCGCCCAGAGTTACGTAAACAAGGACTTTGTGATTATCTTCTGGAAAGTTTGAAGACACTGCTCCGAGGCACCTGTGTTCCTTGTAAAGCTGTTTTCTCTGCTCAGCACACTTTGCCAGCTCCTATTCCTTGAATGGGATTCATACTTCGTTACCTGGCCCTTTTCAGAGCTAGCTGTGTACAGTTGCTTGGTGACATATTTGTGCCCTCCTTGGAGTTCAAGCTCCTTGAAACGGGGGCAATCCTTTTGGTTCACCTTTGAACCCCATGGCCTCAGATACTCTATTTGCTCCTCCAGGTGGGCTCCGTGGAAGAGTTCCAAGGTCAAGAACGCAGTGTCATCCTCATCTCCACCGTGCGAAGCAGCCAGAGCTTTGTGCAGCTGGATCTGGACTTCAACCTGGGTTTCCTTAAGAACCCCAAGGTTGGGGCGCTGGTGGGGTGGCAGCAATTCCTCCTTCTTTAGTATATTTCCATCCCATGATCCAAGCACTTCTTCCTTCCAGAGGTTCAACGTGGCTGTGACTCGGGCCAAGGCTCTACTCATCGTAGTGGGCAACCCCCTTCTCCTGGGCCACGACCCCGACTGGAAAGCGTAAGCGTTCCCACCCCATTCTCCCCCTTAGTGGCCACCACCCCTTGCTTGGGCTGTAGCTACCTTACTGAGCTCCTTTGTGGCTCAGTTTCATGCTCATTTCCCTTCATCTACACAGCCCCTGCATTTGATTATAAGCTGACAATTCGGCAAGGTTATAGCCCAGGAAACCCTATGGAGCAGTTCTACTCTGGGCTATAGAGTTTCTACGAGTCAGAATTGACTAGATGGTACACAGCTCTTACAGCACAGGACTACCTACAGCTTAACTTCCAGCTTCTATGAGTGCTCCCAGCCAGGCCTGCACATGAGCCGTGTCTCTGTACCCCACAGATTCCTGGAGTTCTGTAGAGAAAACGGGGGCTATACCGGTTGCCCCTTCCCTGCCAAACTGGACCTGCAGGAAGGACAGAACTTACTCCAAGGTCTGAGCAAGCTCAGTTCCTCTACCTCAGGTATGGCTGGGGCAGGTAGAGACCAGGGCTGGAAGGAGGAGGTGAAAAAGCTAGAGACCCATCTCTTTCCTTTCTAGGATCTCACTGTGGAGACTCCGTCCCTGCAGAGCAGGAGGGTGAAGGGGGCCTATCCCTGCAAGTGGATCCAGCCTGGAGGAGCGAGCTCTGAAGACATAGCTGATTGCCTTCACAGACCAGCCAAGCAAGCCTTAAGCGTCTGACCCACAACCAGAACCCTGCCTGAACCAGAACCCAGCTGTTCCCCTCATGGGACAGGAGGCTGGAGGAGGGAGTTTACAACCCAAGCCATTCCACCCCATCCCCTGCTGGGGAGAATGACACACCAAGCTGCTAACAATTAGGGGAGGGGAGGGAACTCTGAAAATGAAAATCTTGTTCTATGCAAAAGTCTCCTCATGTCTCCTTAGCTGGGCCCCAGCTTCCAGGGTACCCTGATGGGGAGAGTGGGTCTGTCTTCTGCCTGGGACCAGACCCCTCTCTCAGGCAGGGGAGGAAACCCAGTGGGAGGTGGCAGGGAAAACACCCACAGGTTTCTAAGTTTAGCACTAGCTACATGTAGACCACTCCCCTGAACCGCCTCCTAGGCCCAGAGCCAGGTATGACCTCATCCTTCACTCCAAGTCCCCACCCTGCGGCCTGCTGGCCTAGCCTGGAGTCCTGCCTTTGTAGATGGGCCAGCCTGGCAGGCCACTTGAGGAGCTCGGGCTTCAAGCTGGCAGCCAGGACCAGACCAAATCCATTACTATCAAGTTGACTCATGGCAACCACTACAGGATGTCTGAGGCTATAAATCTTCATGAGAGCAGAAAACCTAGCTTTGTCCTGAGGAATAGCTGGTGGGTTGGGAGTGCTGACTTCCAGCCTTGGGCAATGCATGGCGGCCAGGACAAGGACCATGAGAGATGGGAAGCTGCAACACTCATATTAGAGCCTATGTTCTTTTATTCATGCCCCCCCAACAAAGTACAGACAAGGCTGTTGGCCAAAGCAAGACAATCTGGGGCCAGGGACTCTGGTTACATCTTTAAGTCCCCTGTACCAAACTCTCCCGTGAGCCACAAGTGTATAAAGTGCTGGTGTGTGACAGATCCTCTGGGAAAGGCCAAGGGGGACAAGAGCCCCCCCAGAGAGGCAGCAGGGACTCTAGAAGGGCAGGGCATAGGCCTGGGTTCCCAGCAGGCTGGGAGGGGCCCACCACCACCACCGGGGCTAGGGGAGTGCAGTGCAGTCCTGGGCTGGAGGGAACAAACAGCGCCTTTAGTACGGAGTCCAAAAAGGTTGAGGTTGGGGAGGGGGGTCGTTTCTACACTCCTGGGAGGGAAGGGGGTTCTCAGAGAATAGGACAACCTCTCCGACGTTTATTCTTGCGGACCTGGAGGCCTGCACGAGTGGCCATCTCAAACACCTCCCTCACCCCTTCCTTAGTCTTGGCTGAGCACTCGAGGTAGCCAAAGGCACTGATGCGATTTGCCATATCACGGCCTTCCTCAGAACGAACGGGTTCCTGGGAAGACAGAAGGTGAGAGTTCCAGGAAAGCTGGGGTGTAGGTGTATGTCTTAACTCCCCACCCATAAGTACCCTCGTAAAACAAGCAACCCCTACAGCCCTGACCCCACAAGACACCAGGCCTCTGTTACCTTGGACACCTCCTGACCAGGGTTTTAAGAACTTTATATTTGAAGATTCTATTTCCTCCACTCGCATCCATCCCTACGCTCAATACAGCTGCTCTAGCCTAGATGAGCATCCACCTCACTGCCTCCACTCACCGTCCTCCAAACCATTCTCTATGATGCCAGAATAAGGCTTCTAATATGTAGAACTGACCACGGTTGAAGTCCTTACCATAATTATTCTCATTGGCAGCTGCTTCCAATAAACTCTAGGCTTCAGGCTGTAGAGAACTACTTACCAGGCCCCCAAACAATTTCCTTCAACCCTGTGAACTTCTCCCCCAGACACTTAAGCCCTCCCTGTGGCCCCCACCTGCCCAGGTGTTCTCCCATTGTTAAGGGCCGTTGAGTCGGTTCCGACTCATAGCGACCCTGTATAGAGTTTCTGAGGAGTGACTGGTGGGCTTGAACTGCCAACCTTGTGGCTCAAACCTTGCAGTCCAGTGTATTATCCTGCAGTGCCACACCAGGACTCCACTTATATTAAAAAACAAATCAAACCCACTGCCATCCAGTGTAATCCAAGTCAGTGAGCCTATAAAGACCAAGTGGAAGTACGCCAAAGTTTCTGAGACTAAATCTTCACAGAGCAGCTAGTTAGCAGACCTTGTGGTTAACAGCCCAACTTGTAACCCACTGCACCACCAGGGTTCCACGTGATATATAATAAACTATCACCCTGGGGGCGGATTTTCTCATTCATCTTTAACAGCCCCTACTCCTGGAGCAGAATGCACAAATGGGAATAAATGGACATGCTACGTAACCTTGGACCAGATATTATGAGGGTACTTCTGTCTCTTCCTCACCAGGGGCAGGCGTTTGGTGATGGGGACACGCTGGACCACAAGGCTAGTTTGAATCACAAGGTCAGTGGTTCACTCTCACCAGCCACTCCCCTCTGAGTTGGAACCGACTCAAGGGCACTTAACAAGAACAGTAGTCCCTAGCACAGGGCAGTGTGCTGGAGAGAAGCCCTCTCACCCCATCTGCAATTCCCTAGAGCCTACTGTCCTGGTTCAGCAGCCACACCCACCTGCTTCATCTTGGCCAGCTCTCTCCGGGTATGTTCATCTTGCCTCAGGTCCTTCTTATTCCCCACTAGGATAATGGGCACGTTGGGGCAGAAATGCTTCACCTCTGGGGTCCACTTCTCAGGAATGTTTTCTGCATAGACATGTCACCATAAGTGTCAGGCTAGAAAGCATCCCCTTGGAACCTTGTTTCTCTGCAGCAGTATATTCAGCATGAAGGTCCACTTCATAGCTCAAAGTCCCTCACCTCCATGATACACCCACCACCAGAGCTATCCCAGTGAAAGGTTAACAGGGACCACCACTCCCCTAGTCCCCAAGCCTCTGCCTCTTAAGATGGCTGAAGGCTGGCTATGGCAAGTGCCACTTCGGGTGATTTCAGGGGCTCTTGATCCTCTGGCCCCAGTGCCTCCCCCTGACCTCACCCAGGCTGTCGGGGCTGTCAATGGAGAAGCACATGAGGATGACATCAGTGTCCGGGTAGGAGAGAGGCCGCAGACGATCATAGTCTTCCTGCCCAGCTGTATCCCACAGAGCCAGCTCCACCTGACACACAGGGGCAGTGAGTAGCTAGGCCAAGCGCCCTACTTATCACACACAACCCTGTCACCCTCAGGTCCTCTGAAACCACTGAGCATCTTTAGGCTTACCAAACAGGTGATGTACTCAGTGAGCTTTTCGGAAATTCTAAGGCATCTGTATTTGACCTTTGTGCAGGGGTCAGGCAGCAGTTTGTGTTTCCATGGTGAATACCACTATTTTGTTTTACTCCCACAACAGCCCTGTGAGTATATACTTAGCATCATCCTCATTTTGCGGTTGCGCAAGTTTAAACCAAGAGACTAAGGGTCTTAGAATATAGAGCAAGTCCATGGTAGAGCCAGGAGGTGTATCCAGATTTTCTAAGATTCCAGTTTCACTTCCTGACTTTTCCTGACTCCAGCTGGGAAAGTGGAACAGGAAGTGTGTGGGTGGTGAGGACAGAACTAGGTCTAAACATGGCCAGGGGAAGGAGTGCCAAGGTGAGATGGGATGGGGCCCTCTGTCTTCACCTGCTTGCCGTCCACCTCAATGTCTGCAATGTAGTTTTCAAAGACAGTAGGAACGTAGACCTCTGGGAATTGATCCTTGCTGAAGACGATGAGGAGGCAGGTCTTCCCACAGGCACCATCCCCCACAATCACCAGCTTCTTTCGGATTGCAGCCATGGCTTGGGCTGGCAGGGAAGAAGTAGTAGGGATTTGGGGGGAAACCAATAAGTCCAGAAATACTCTTCTGGGGCCCCTGAGAGCCCTCTGGAAACAGGCATCCAGCAAAGAGAGCATGAAGGGAAAATGACTTGTCCAAGCATGTTCTTGACAAGAACCAATCACTCAGGCAACAGAGCTTGAAATTCCTAGTGTCAGGGTCAGGGACAGGTCCCCCAGGTGGGTTGGGATACATCAGTGGGAAGTGGAAGAAGAACCCAGTTGGGAGCCAAAAAACATGAATCTGGCCAAATCCACTCACCAGTGGACATCCAGAGAGGTGCTGTGTGATCAGGGACAAGTCCAGAGAAGCTAGCTCTATCTGTTTTACGTATGAGGGTTCAGACTTTCAATACTTTAATAATCAGGTGTGGTGCTGTAGGATAAGCACTGGACTGCTAACCACAGGTGGGCAGTTCAAACCCACTATATGGGGGTGTTATGAGCCAGAACTGACTAGACGGCATTAAACAAAAAGGTCCGGACTAGAACAGATTTTGTCTGCAGGAATCAAGCGTGCCTAGTCACGGACCAAGAGTTCTTCTCCAAGACCATAGGCTAGCAGAACCAGCCACTGGGTAGTGGCTAAGGGAAAGAATATTTATCCAGTGTTCACATTTTGACCAAAATTAGCTCCTTTAGCCCTCAGAAGCCTGGAAGGTGAATGGTACACTTCCCATTTCAACCCACTTGGCCACTGAGGCTCAGTGAGGTTAAGACATGTTCAGAGTCCAGACGCATAAGCACAAGGATGGGACTCAAAAGTAGGGCTATGTGACTCCAGTGTCTGCTTTTGTACATATCATCCCAGAAGGGGGAAGGAGGGCAGAAGCAGGGAAATCCAGACAGAGGACAGTGGCAGCAGCCAGCTGGTTTCCCTTGCCCACCCCAGCCTGGTCCCAAAGCGCCAAGTCACACAAAGAAGGCTCAGTCCTGGCAGTGTCCACAGCCCACATTCGGGCAGCCTGCCTTCCTCCCAGGCCTGGCAGCAACACTGGGTCACTCAGCCACAGGCAGGGGACAATGACCACACTGTAGGGAGCCACACATCCATCAAAGCAGAGCGACTGAGAATAATCCACTAGGGAATCACCTCCACCCACTCCCTGGATCAGCCCCTTCCACCCCTTTGTCTGGCTCACCCAAAGGCCCTGCCCACCCCTCCCAGTGACTCAGGGCAAGGAGTTAGCTGCCAGGGGTTTCCATGTGACCCCTGCCCCCAACACACATGAACTTGCATCTGTACAGCTCATCACACCTTTCCTGCCTGGGAGCTGAGCATCGCTTCCGCCTTCCCTTGGGAGAGGAGCTGACCGCCCTCTGCTAAGTTCCAAGGCTACAGCCTGGGAGGAAGAGAGGGTGGGCTCTGGAGCTGAGATGAAGTCAAGGCTGTTGTTAAGGGGAGGAGTCCCAAAAGAAGAGACAAAT